AAAAAAAAAAAAAAAAGAAAAAGAAAAAATGAGATGTAAAGGAAAAATGAAAGCTGAAAATGTCAGGACCCTCCCCCAACTCCTTATGCAAAAAGCAAGGGTCAAACCTAGAGGCTGAGTGTTGAAACACCCCCTTCCAAATGAGTAGCCATTACTCATATAATGCATAAGCCAGATCTCTGCAACAGATGAAAGGCTACTGCAAAGTACTGTCACCTCAGATCATTTGTAAGGAAATTCCTTGTTGGCCTCTCACTAGTAAGGACCTATAAATTGTAACTTTGGGTCTACAGGCTAAGTCTAGCTCCTAAAAGATGTTGACTCCACACAGTAATGTTGACTGCAGGTTTATCTTCCCAGGTGCAGAGGAGAGATAACATCAAGCTTACTTCCTGGGACATCTGCATAATTGATGCTTCCTAGATTTCCCAGGTCTCACAAGTCTGTGACTGTTCTGTCTCACTGCCCACTTACCTTCCTCTTTGTTTTTTTCTGGATGCCTTATCTCCTTTAAACCTGAGTTCCCAACTGCTTTGAAGAAACAGACAGATTTGTCTGTGGTTTGTGTCCTCAACTCTGGCATTATAAACCTCCATTGATTGAGATCTTTGCCTCAGTCAGTCACTCATTTTGAGTTGTCATAGATGTGGCTTTACCTGCTTTGACAAATGAAAGTACAAATGGAGAAGAACTCAAACTCTGTAAAATAATTCTAAGAGGTTTATTCCAAGTCAAACATATATGACTGTAACCTGGAGAGCCATGCCCAAGAAGCCATGAGCAAATGGTCTCCACGGTCTATTACAGTTTGGTTTTATACATTTCAGGGATTACATAGAAAGTCATAACTCAATAAATGGAAGGGGTACTTTGGTTTGCTCTGAAAACACAGGACATCTTGAAGCAGGGGCAGTTTTGCTGCCTCCCAGGTTCATTTGCCCACTGCCCAAGAGAAAGCTGATACACTTGAGACAGCGGGTGTCAGAGTGGAGAGAGTTTAATTCTGCAGAGTGGTGAACATAGTGATAAGCAGGGAGATTGGAGGGATTTTTCAAATCTGACTCCCCCAAAATTTGAAGGCAGGGAGGAAGTTTGGTGGGGAAAGGATTAAGCATTTGGGTTTGCTAATTGGTTAGGTTGGGGGCAAAATTATAGGGGTGTAGAAATCAGCTTCTTACATTGTTTTAATTCCTGGAGTCACGATTCCTGCTGAGTCAGTTTCTTGGTATGGGCCACTGGTCTGGGTGGGTCAGACAAGCCACTGGAGTGTGGGGCCTGGAAGAGATCTCAGAAATTTACCTCTAGGTTTTTGAGACAGAGTCTCACTGTGTTGCCCTCGCTAGAATGCCATGGCATCACAGCTCACAGCAACTGCAAACTCTTGGACTTAAGTGATTCTCTTGTCTCAGCCTCCTAGGTAGCTGGGACTACAGTTGCCTGCCACAACGCCCGGCTATTTTTTTTTGTTGCAGTTGTTTAGTTGGCTGGGGCCTGGGGCCAGGTTTGAACCTGCCACCCTCGGTGTATGTGGCCGGCACTGTAACCACTGTGCTACTAGTGCCATGCCGTTACCTCTAGGTTTTAAAAGAATAATGTACCAGGCATGGTGGCTCATACTTGTAATCCCAGCACTGTGGGAGGCTGAGGAGGGAGAATTGCGAGACTTGCCTGAGCAAGAGTGAGACCCATGACTCCTAAAAAAATGAAAAACCCCGCCAGACACCACAGCAAGCACCTGTAATCCCAGCAGCTTCTGGAGGTTGAGACAGCGGGATGCCCACATTCAGAGTCTGAGGTTGCAGTGAGCTATGAAGCCATTGCATTCTGCTCAGGACATAGGGTGGGACTCTGTCTCAATAACAACAACAAAAAGCAAAGAAATAAAAATAAAAAATAAGGAAATAAAAATATAAAAGGGTATTGTTGTATCATTGGTACTATAAATGGTCATAGCTCACAGCAACCTCAAACTCTTGGTTTCAAGCGATTGTCTTGCCTCAGCCTCCTGAATAGCTGGGACTACAGGTGCCCGCCACAACACCTGCCTGTTTTTAGAGGTCTTGCTCTAGCTCAGGCTGATCTCGAACCTGTGAGCTCAGTTAATCCACTCGGCTTGGCCTCCCAAAGTTTTGGGATTACAGGCATGAGCCACCAGGCCCAGCTTTTGAACTCTGTTCTTGATGGAAATATAGTGACTCCTAATTATGGAATCATGTTTTCCTTAGGACTTACAGAATAATGTTTTAATCTTTAGCCTGGGATTCAAAAGACATTCTTGTTCAGAGTCACCTTTGTGACTTCCTTGTTCCAGTTTACCAACTCCTAAGCCATGGCACCATCCTGTACCAGAAGAGGCCTCCAGCATCACTGCTTAAATCACACCGAATGAATATTCCTGTTCTGCAATTCATACCTCTTTAAAAATAAAATGTATTTTCATAATATTTGTGTTGTGTCTCGTTACGGTTATTTTATATGTATCTGTCTCTTCCACGAAATTGTAGGCTCTCGGAAGGTTTATCTTATGAGCCGTATTCTACATTGTTAGCAATCAGCACTTGGGTCTTTATTTTTCTCATGGGGATATTGATCATTTTCTTTTGCTTTATGATCATTAGCCTGCCCAGCTGCATTATAAACATGAACTCTTTATAGATTCTGAGGCTTCTAAGACAAATCTAATTTCTGGTAATCATAGATGCAAATATTCACAACATCGTGTGTTTGTCAGTTTTTATACATTGTCTTATTCTGTATATTTCAGTAATATATGTTTTAAAATATAAAAAGTAACATTTCTTTTTGTTTTATCTTTCAGATATTCCTATATGGAGATTTGCCAAAAAATAAAGAAAATGTAATATATTTAGCAAATCATCAAAGCACAGGTTTGTATTTCATTTGCATGAAACTGTTTTTTCTACAAATGGTACATGGGCATTCAAAGTAATCTCATATATATAAATTTTTTTTTGAGACAGAGTCTTAGTGTGTTGTCCTTGGTAGAGTACCATGGTGTCACAGTTCACAGCAACCTCCAGCTCTTGGGCTTAGGCTATTCTCTCGCCTTAGCCTCCCAAGCAGCTGGGAGTACAGGCACCTGCCACAATGCTTGGCTATTTTTTGTTGAAGTTTATCTGGGGCCGAGTTTGAACCAGCCACCCTCAGTATGTGGAGCTGGCGCCCTACGCACTGAGCCACAGGCACTACCTCCAAGTAGATTTTTTTTTTCGGCCAGGACTGGGCTTGAACCTGCCACCTCTAGCATATGGGGCCGGCGCCCTACCCTTTTGAGCCACTGGCACTGCCCGGAGTAGATTTTTTTTAAACATGAATTTTCTATGCAGTTACATCCTTGTATTTTTGTGATTTTTACTTTTCCAAAAGTCAAGAATGTGAAACCTGTGACTTTTGCTAAAATGTACTTTCTCCCTCTGTTGGATGCAGTTGACTTCTTTTGTTTTAAATTTTATGGCCTGAACACATACATGATGTTAGGATGATATCCATAGATTCGTAACAGTTTTCAAGTATTCCACTCTCAGATTCATCTGTGGATTAACTAGAAAAGTCTCCCTCACATTTCATTTTTATATTTTCTTTCTCTTCAAGTATAGGGTACTTTGTATAGTTTGTATCCGTTTACTTTCAAATCCAAATTTCTCTGGTTCTCAGGACCCTTTATCATTGGTCTTTTTAATTTCGTTTCACTTCTTTTTAATCTCATTAAGCCGTATCCTTGTTTACCGTCTTCTGCACCCAGTTTGCTGCTTTTTATTTTTTGCTTTGGCAAGGACCACTCTTTGTTGGGAATTTCTTCTGTTTCAAAGCTTCACTAACTTAATTTGAGGAAGTATACTTGCTTTGTGATCTTTTGTCAATAACATATCTGTAAAGTTGTGGTTACTAGGTGGGATCTATGTTCCTTGGTGATGTAAGGAACACATGTTAACCTACCAGGGTTGTAAGGTAAGTGAGACCTTTGTTTGAATGCCATGGTAACCTAGTAGTGAGTCTTAAAATTTATCAGTAAAGTGTTCTTACCCTTTGTTGAACACATATACACATGTTAAGTTGCACTCGATAATTTCATTTAGCCATGTTTGCTTAAAATTTCCCCTTTTTCATTAAAAAAGAAAACAACTTTGTTTTCTGGACTTTAGGAATCAGAAAAGCCCATTTTATTCCATGTATATCCTGCTGTTGGATTATTTCAGTGTTTTTTGAGTTGTATTTTATGCCCCAAATAAAAAGCCTTT